GAATGGTGAGATCCAGACCAGCACACATGGCTGGGGGACGCTGGCTAGGCCCCCAGCCTGGCTGGTGGGCCAGGGGACAGATGACCCGTACCTGGCACTTGGCATTCTCGACCTCGGCCGTCAGCCTCTGGATCATGCGGTTCAGCTCGTTGATCTCCTCCTTGGTGCGGCGCAGGGTCTCCCCGTGACGGATCACCGTGGCCTTCATCTCCTCACACTGCGGGGAGACACAGGTACTCCTGAGGCTCAGGATGGGACACCCCACGGATTGAGGACACCACGGATGGTAGTGCAGGTGGTACAGTGCTCAGCCTGTGCAAACATCCATGGCAGCCCTGCCCGGCCACCTCTACCTGAGAGCTGTCTGCCCTTCTATTCCCATCCCTGAAATCAGAATCCCAGACAAAAGAAGCCTTTCCTAATATATAGCTCGCATGCCTCTCACAGCCATGACTAGGAGGCAGGTGTCCTGTGCCACTCACCTTGCTGCGGTACCAGGACTCAGCCTCGGCGCGGCTGCGGCTGGCGATGTCGTCATACTGAGCCTTGATCTCGGCCATGACACAGTCCATGTTGAGGTCCCGGCTGTTGTCCATCTTGACGACGACCGAGGTGTCTGAGATGTGGGACTGGAGGACGCGGATCTCCTGCAGGTGATGGGAGGTGAGGGGATGGGAGGATCTTATTTATGCCACAGCCTCACCCACCATAGCGTGTACCCAGTCTTCTCAGCCTTACCCTGGTCTCCAGCCCCAACACCCTCTGACAGCCTCATGGACTGCAGCTGCCTGCCCAAATCCCTGTCCACCTCCAGTCCCAGGCCAAAGCCTTCTCCTCCAGACTTGCTGCCAGTTCTTTGCCTGGGCCACGACTCCTCACCTCCTCATACAGTCGCCGCAGGAAGTCAATCTCCTGGGTCAGGGCCTCCGCATTGGCCTCCAGGTCTGACTTGCGGAGGTAGGCGCAGTCTACATTCTAGAAAATGGAAGTCTTTGAGCTAAGAGGATTCCGGGTGATTGTCAGTTAAACTCCTCTCTTCTCAGCCATTCATGGCAGCCAGTGTCCCTATCCCACCCATTTCCAGACCTTCTGTCCTTCTAGGGATGGAACTCACCACCTTTTCCCCTTCTGAGAACAAACCCCTTTGTGTCCTGGACAAGGGCCACCAGCCTCTCCCCCTCCCACCTGAGACAGTTTACCCTCCCATTTTTCCTTTCTACCCTCCCCTGTTCCAGGAAGCCTGCCCAGGCTGACCCCCTGTTTGGACACCTTGACCCCTGTCTGTCCCCTAGCACTCCTTCAAGACTTCACCTATCAGTCCCGGTTCTGCTCCGTCCTCCCCCATATCCTGGGTCTCTGTCCCTCCCTTTGGTCAGACGTCACACAGTGCTAGACAGGACACTGTCACTCTACAGAAACTAAAGCTGCCAGGCTTCCAGGCGACCCAAGTCACAGACCCCAACCTCTGCAACAGAGCAGGACATCCAGAGGTGGACCCAGCCACCCCGCTGCCCCAGGGCACGGTGCCAGTGGATATTCCAAGGTCATTGCCCTTTGTCAAAGCCCTAGATGTGCCTTCCATGACCTGATCTCTGGGAATTCCCTATCCTGATTTGGCAAGGTCACTGTACCCCACACAGAGGTTGAGACCCTCTGGGTCTCCCCAAGAAGAGTCTGTCATTCTAGACCCCCGTTGTGTGTGCTCCCCAATCACATGTTACCCACCTTCTTTAGAGCCACAAACTCATTCTCAGCTGTTGCTCTCAGAGAAACTTCCTCCTCGTACCTGAGGCAGAAGAGGGCAGAGAGAAGGTCACAGAAGGGCAGGTCTGCTCAGACCCCCTCCACTTCATACCAATGAAGGGGGCAATATTAGGAACCTCCCATCACAGCTGGCCCCCTAGCATCCTTGTTGGGTCCTTTTGGTTGGATTTGGGCTCTCTCTGTGATGCTCTCTCCATTTTGAATTGAGGGGTTCAGGGAACTCATCTTCTGGGACCTCATAGCCGCATGTCCCAAGGTTGCTCTGGAGTGACCTCAGGAGGCAAATAAGGCCTCAGCACCCAGCTAAGAGTGGACAGTATGTCCTTGGGGCACTGCAGCCCCAGCCTCCCCTCACCGTAGCTCAGGTGTGGTTGGAGGTCTACGAGTCCCTGAGGCCATCGGCTCTCAACACCCTAGGCAGCAGGACACCCAGAACTCCACAACATGTCAACCCTGAGCCACACTTGGACTCAAATCACATCCATGTGCTACAAGAGGGAGGCCGAGAGGTCAGGAGGAGAAGGCCTGGGAAATGGGAGAGGCCTTCCTCCCCACAGAGCACAGGGGACAGCTGCTGGGTGATTAGGCTCCGAGAAGACAAGGCTGAAGTAAGGGAGAGGCATCTCCTGGGGTCCTGGGGGAATCACGGCCCTACTCCTAGGCAGGCATCTGGGCAGCAATTGCACAGGTGAAAGATCCTGCTACATACTGCCAACCTGGCCGCTCTCCCTACCTGGAAATTCTTCTCATGTCTAATCCAAATTGGCCGTAACCTAATCATTTCCTGTGCCCAACATCACTCCAGCCACACTCACTTCTTCTTGTAGCCCTCCATCACCTCCTGCACATGGTTGAGCTCGGAGGCCAGCCTCCCGCTGTCGGCCTCCGCACACTCGGCCTCCCGCCTCAGCGTCTCAATGTAGCCCTCAAACAGCGGCTCCAGGTTGCTCTCGCAGCACTTGCGGTTCTGGTAGAACTGCCACTTGGTCTCCAGCAGCTTGTTCTGCTGCTCCAGGAAGCGCACCTGCCATTCGGGGTGGGGAAAGGGTAAGATGGCTCCTGGTGTCCCAAACCCAATGTGGGGGAATTCTTTTAATGTGAACTCCCAAAGCTGTGGCTCAGCATGGATTAGGCAGACGTAGACCGTGGGAGACAAGACAACTTCTGGTTCTCCTGATTATCATCTATATCTGGATTTTCCAACTTAGGGATGTGAGCAAGGGGCTGGGAAATGTCATTCCCTGCCATCAGGTGAACTGAGTCATCTCTCAAGTAGCATGAGTCCAGGTAGAACATGGTTAGGATCAGGTAGAGGTCTTTTTGCTTCTGTCTCCCACCTCACTGTGTAGCCTGAGTGCTGAGCATGAATGGGGATGTGATCAAGTGTGTGATCAAGGACATCCATCCAAAGGATGGCCCTGTGGTCCTGCTCCTATGTTTTATGTGCATTTCTTGCGTCTTTTGTGCATGTGTAGACTTCTTTCTCTGATACAGTTTCAAGCCTTGCCCTTGTCACTCTGTGGTGACCCTGCCTGCTTGGACAGAGGTTGTATATATTAACAGTGCTATTAAATCAGGAGCCCCAGCCCTATAGGCATCGCTCTGTGTCTGTCTGTGCCCCAGATGTGTGTCCATCTCCTCCATCACCTGGAGGCTCACCTGGACCGCATCCCTTCTGCCCCTGATTCCACTTCAGTGCCTCGCCCAGAAAGTGCAGGTTCAGGAAAGAGCTGATCAAGGGCACCCACCTTGTCGATGAAGGCAGCGAACCTGCTGTTGAGGCACTTGATCTGCTCCTTCTCCTCATGCTTCACGCACTGCGCGTTGGGGTCGATCTCCAGGTTGAGGGG